GATGGCGTGGTATATTATTTTGATAATTATCGTACGCAGAATGGGCCGCCAAACGATATTACCAACATGAATAAACTCCCTGTATTGGAAAATTAGTCACGACTATTTAGGATATACGTACATATTTAATTGATTGTAATTTTAGCGGAACGAAAGTACAAGTTTATTCTTTAACTTTTCAAATTGTTTGTTTAATTCATCGTCTGAATTATGGAGAATGAGCGAAACTGAAAACTTTGTCCCTGCTTACGGAAGGATCGTATGATTGGTCAGAGTTGGAGCTAAGTTGAGTTGATCACAGTTTCATCCAAATAAGCTTAGCCATACACACCTTCACTTGTATTCGAAGACTTTATACGGCATCGAGTCTGACAAGCTAACTTATGCAAACTTCATCTGAGTCCCGACCTCTAGGATGCGCTGTACTTTTCTAATGGAAAACTGCCGAAAGTATGGGACCGTTGGCAAACTAACTCGTGTCCATGTCGTACACGCGTAGAACTGTTTGATGCGGATGTCTTCTTTGCCGCTCGTTGCAGTTTTCGCATTCAGATAACGGCGGCGTAACTAAATCAGGCACACTAAATCATCTTAAGCTCATTACAGGACATTTTGTAGACTACATCTTTTTTATTGACATAGCAAACAACTCCGTTGACCTGCAGGCCAAGAGGTACATTTCAATGTGGGTTTGTGCATTCCTTTAATGCAAAACGGTTTGGAAAGGTACCTGATTCTCATCCGTTGTTATTCATTCCTAGGGTCTTGGCTTTAAATTCAGCTTAATAGGCTGGTAATAATGCCCCACGTACTATACACGATCACATTGGATACTTATGTATATTTGAATAAAACGCTGTTCATAAGCCCTTATAAGAGCCTTAATAACAGCAGGTCATGCCTGCCCATCAATTTACTCGCTTAATCGTCATCATATTTCTCATTGGAAGACCTCAGTTTTAACACTCTGCGCCCTTTAGCCGTTACGCTACATGACTTAGGTCAAGGACAGAGCGTTGGACTACTTAGCACTCACTGACCAGAGACACCGATCAGGATCCCTGGTTATTCAGACCTGGGGCCGAGTATGTTTTGCGGGCAACAACTAGTGAGCTGGAAATGACCATCCAAGTCCCCCATGTCTTTACCGTCATTTCTTTCTACACACACATATATCAATATGCGTGAAGATCCGAGGTCCAGATGTATTACCGTGTATATCATCCCCCGAGGAAGACGAAGAAGAGAAAGCGATTTCATGGACCAGGTTGTATTCAGACTGACGTTTCGGAAACACTCTCGTTTCCATCATCAGAGTCGTGCGCTGACGTTTCCTGTTGGCCTCGATCTGTTCAGCCTTGCAGCCTGCCTCGTATTATAACCGTCGGTGGTCGACCCCGTGTGATGATAAAATGGCCAGACTAATGCTGGAAAGTTGGTCCTCGACTGGCACACTCAACCGGGCCATAGACCTACATCCAGCCTACCAGGCGCTCTGCGCAAGACTCGAGTCAGTACAGGCAGGGCCGATGGCACGGATGAAAAGAGTCACACGGGGTCGACCACCGACGCTCGCGGAGAGAGAAGGCGCTGACCGAATGTCACGTGACCGGCGTGGCACACCGTCTCACGGACGTACTCGCGAGGACGGAAACACCACGCCTGAGGAACATCGATCGATCAGCCCGCCGTCTGACGAGGGGGAGGCCAACGAGCACGCCGACGCAGCGGCAACCACGTTAGGTGTGAGGGGGACACAAGCCACGCCAGTCCGCCAATGGCTGACATCAGGGAGGCGACAATCAGCCAACGGAAAGCAGGCTAGTCAACAAACGTGCGCTGGGCACGGTTATAATACGAGGCAGGCGGCAAGGTTGAACAGATCAAGGCCAGCAGGAAACGTCAGTGCACGACTCTGATGAGGGAAACGAGAGTGTTTCCGAAACGTCCGTTTGAATACACTCTGGTCCATGAAATCGCCTTCTCTTCTTCATCTTCCTCGGGGGATGACAAACACGATAAATATATATATATATATATAGGGGTATCCAGGTTGTATTCAGACTGACGTTTCGGAAACACTCTCGTTTCCATCATCAGAGTCGTGCGCTGACGTTTCCTGCTGGCCTTGATTTGTTCAGCCTTGCCGCCTGCCTCGTATTATAACTGTGCCCGGCGCACGCACGTTGGTTAGCCTGTTTTCCTTTGGCCGATTGTGGCCTCTCTGATCCCAGCCATTTAAATGTGTGGCCGGATGAGGCCGAAATTCTCGCAAGAGGTGACAACCGAGTGAGCCGGGAGCTACTGGAATCATGGTTTACTGACCCCCAGTCCATCAACAAGTGCAACGATCTTCCCAGTCAATACAGCGTGCTGAGACTTCGTCTAGGCGGAGTAATTGGCCACGCGGGGAGCGCACTGGTGAACACTCTTCCCAACACCCGGGTCAACGCGTCAGATGGTCGAGCAATCATCACGCCAACATCCAACGCACGTGATGAAATTGCAGCAATTATCGACTCGAATGTCGGCCATCAAGCAATGATCACACCAAGTGTGACAATCCCGGATGAAGGGGGGAGCCGTGAACGTTCATAGGTATGCGGTAGCATGGCTACTGCATCCTATAAATACCGCACCCCCTTGTGCAACAACCACCCGTTTCTGCTCTTTTGTCTCTGATGATGGATTCGAGTAGGAATCCGAAACGTCAGGCTAATAAAGCTCTTATCCCGGCGATCGTGTCTCCTTCTTCAACAGACCATGCTGCCTGGAGAGGAGTTCTGGGACCCCATGGTTTCAACGATAATGTTCTGCTCCTCCTACGAACCTGAGCAGAACACCGGCTCATCCTTACCAACACCTTCTTCCGTCTTTCGATGCGAGAGAAGGCCACCTGGATGCACCCTCGGTCGCGACAATGGCAGCTGATGGACTATGTCCTCGTCCGGAGGCGAGACCAGCGGAACGTGCTACTGACAAAGGCGATCCCGGCTGCTGACTGGTGGACCGGTCATTTCCTCTCGTCATCTAGGAGATGCGGATTCGTCGACAACCTCGCAGGAGACCTCAAGTTAAGCGACCCCCAAGCAAGCTGAATATTGATCTGTTCTCTTTGACTGCCAACCATCTTCATTTCCGCAACGAGCTATCTCGACAGCCAGCTAACCTTCCAGTCAGCGCCGCCGCCGCCGCCGCCGCCATGGAGGAGAAAGCCTCCGTGGAGGACCGGTGGTGTCAACTGCGGAACACAGTCTGGTCGACGGCCCCAGCTGTCCTTAGTCGCGTACGTCGCCAGCATCAGGACTGATCTGATGACAACGACGCCGCCATCAGCAACCTGCTCGTCGAGAAGAACCGTCTGCACAAAGCCCACGTCAATCGTCCCACCGACGACAATAATGCAGCATTATGCCGTAGTAGCAGGTTTGTGCAACAGCGGCTGCTGGAGATGCAGAACGCTGGGATGGCTCGAAAAGTCGATGAGATTCGAAGGTGCGCGAACCGAAACGAATAGAAAACTATCTTATCCGCGATCAAGGCTGTCTACAGCCCCACAACTAAGGCAACTGCACCTCTTCTCAGCGCCAAAGGAAGTACCCTGATCACCGAGAAGACACACATCCTACAGCGATGAGCCGCGAACTTCAGAGGCGTTCCCAACCGTCCCTCCACCATCTCCGACGCCGCCATCGCTCGTCTGCCTCAAGTGGAGACCAACATTGACCTCGATCTCCCGCCCTGTCTCCGCGAAGCCATCAGGGCAGTGTAGCAACTCTCTAGCAGGAGGGCGCCCGGATCAGAAGAGATCTCTGTTGAAATCTACAAACACGGTGGTCCCCAAATCGTGGATCATCTGACGGCGTTCTTCCAGGAGATAGGGCTTCAAGAAGAAGTCCCGCAGGATTTCAAGGACGCCACAATCGTGCACCTGTACAAGCGGAAAGGGAACCGCCAAACCTGCGGCAACCATCGAGGCATTTCCGTAGTGAACATCGCCGGGAAAATCTTAGCTCGCATCCTTCTTCACCGGCCTGGACAACCATCTGGAACAAGGTCTCCAGTCGGAAAGCCAGTGCGGCTTCCGCCGTCATCGTGGGACTACCAACATGATCTTAGTGGCCTATCAACTGCAGAAGTGTCAGGATATGCGTATCAACTTCTACTATACCTCCATGGATCTAAAAAAAGCCTTCGCCAGGGTGAATCTCAAAGAAATGTGGAAAATCATGCGGAAATCCGGCTGTCCCGAACGATTCACTCATGTGGTGTGTCAGCTCAACGATGGCATGATGGCGTGAGTCACGGACAATGGAGTTTTCTCAGAGGCGTTCGCAGTGACCAACAGAGTGAAGCAGGGCTGAGGCCTCGCGCCTACCCTCTTCAGTCTCATGCTCCCTGCCACGCAAATGCGGCCTACTGTGACAAATTCCCCGCTATCCGAGTGGCCTCCATGATGGCGACCAACTTCTCAATCAGTGGCAGATGTACTTCCAGTCGCGTATATCCGTAACTTCCGTCCACGAACTTCTTCTCGCCGGCGACCACGCTCACAACGCCACTTCGGGAGCGGCATGCAAAGGAGCATGGACCCATTCGCCGCCGCCTGTGAAAACTTCGGCTGATCATTAATACGGAGAAAACGGTGGTCATGCAACAACCGTTACCCGACGCTGCCTACGTCACACCCCAAATCAGAGTGAACAGTCCCAACTGAAAACCCTGGACAACTTCACCTACCTGGGCGGTACCCGCTCGCATCACCAAAATTGACGATGAATTTGCTCGCCGTATTTCGAGCGCATGCAAAACATCGGCTCCAATCGACATGGATGTATGAAGCGGTTGTTCTGTCGACGTTTCTCTGTGGAGCGAAGGCCTGGATGGTGTGCAAGAAGCAAGCACGCAGACTGAACCACTTCCACCTCCGTTGCTTACGAGAGTATTGAAGTTGGGGTGGAAGGGTCGGATAACCGACACGGACGTACTGGAACGAGCGGGAACTCCCAGCATCTACGCCATTCTGAGACAATTGCAACTGCGCCGGAGCGGCCGCCTTGTGCGCGTGGACGACGAGAGGCTACCGAGATGACTCTTCTATGGAGGTGTCGCCACGGGTTTCCAACGAGAAGGAGGTCTTGTCCGGCTCTAAAAGTGTGCCCTGGAGACCTCCTTCAAGCGCCTGCAAATCGACTCGGCCAACTAGGAAGACTTAACCCGGGACCAACCGATCTGGCGGAGAGTCGTGAAGACAGGCGCAGCGACCTACGAGGCCAACCGCCTCACCGCGCCAAAGCCAAACGCGAAGCTCATAAATCTCAACTGTTACTCCTCGCAACGACAGAACTCAACTGTTCTCGATCTGTCCACGATGCCAGCGGGTGCTCCGGGCACCAATCGGTCTCTTTGAACATCTTTGAACTAACTACAACACGCAGACGGCACCAGCCGATGTCCCCCCGTCCACCACTGCTTCGCCCTCTACGCCAAAAATCCATGCTAACCACACTCCTGAACCCCAATGTCATCCATCTCCATCGCCTCAACATCCGCTGCGGCAGCTCCTGCAGCCACCACCACTGCACACAATCCTGAAGCGCTGACAAACATCAATCTTACCACCGTCGACGCCAACGATTTGGACTCGGTTCATACCTGCCCTCATTGCGATCGCGCTTTCCCTTCACATATCGGTCTGGTCGTCACTTGCGAATCCATCGCACAGAGACTGGCAAACCAGTGCCTGGAGCACCCACATGCAACAGACGCATCCGCCTCAGCTGCCCTCACCGCATCCGCAAATTCACTCAACGCATGGGTTTTCCTGGTCACATGCGTACCCAACAGAGCGGAATTCAACTCAGCCTCGACACACCTAGCACATCTTGCGTATCGACCTTGCTTAGCACGACCCACACGACGCTGCCCAGCACCAGCAGCACAACTGCCGCTGACATCACTGAAACAGACCCTGGCAGCACTGATCTACCTTGTCCACATTGTTCCCGTACATTCACCCCATACATTAGCCTGGGAGGTCACTTGCGAATTCGTCGCACAGAGACTGGCAAACGAATGCCTGGAGCATCCATATGCACTTGCCGCATCTGCTTTAACCGCCCTCACTGCACCCGTACATTTGCTCATCGCATGGACCTACAAGGCCACATGGGCATCCACGGCTACACTTAATTATCACATCCTCCCCCACCAGCAGCACACCGCATCATCACCCACCACAAGCACCCAACTGCCACCTCCCACGCAAGTGGGAAGTGTGCGTCTCAGTTCCGTCTCCATGTGGTCCATCTGCTGCATGTACGCCGTCTAACCCCCGTTCTGTGTAATGTTGGTGTTTGTGTTTGGGGGGCCAGGTCGTGCGCGTGGCGCTCGCAGATAAGGTCACTAGACCATGTCGTTCACCGCGCCCAGTTCTCGCACCTGTCAACTGACCGGCTCGGACAGTGGCTGGAGTCTGGTATTGGGAAGGGAGAGTGAGGTCGACGGCTCAGCGCATTTTGCTTACTATAAACAATCTGACGCGCTTGAAGCCGTTACGGTGCCCTTCATGCCGTGACTTGGAAGATTGCCAACTGACAGGATAACTTGGGCCTCGCAGTCGGTTCAGTGTTGCGTGTTTGTGTGGAGCGACCGACTGGTGGTCCAAGAGTCAGGCTGCAATGGCTCATTCTTATTACGGTCACTTTGGCGCTCGCAAATCGTGGGGTCCGAGTCCCCCCTCCGTCCTCCTGTTGTGTAAAATCCTGGTCAGTATACGTTGCAGACCAGGAGGTGTGGTGGTACGCCTAAGTGCAGTTTTTCGCCGTGACAGCCACCTACGTCCTCTCCGTCCTCCGGGCTTCTTGAATCTATCGTGGCACCAGACCCAGGTTGGGGAAGGAGAGAGTGCGGTAGATTCAGCAAAAGTCCACCAGTACTTTAAGCTACTTCACGCGCAAGTCACCGTCCCCGCTCTCACCCTACTGTGGAACACGAGGCCGACATCGTCGGCAATGGCGGTCTAACTTTCATATACCACAGCTCGGACTTTCATTCATTCCACACCTTTCTTTGTTTCATACTAGAGCTTTCATTGAATCCAGAATAACGGATTTGTGGGAGTTGTCATATTACAGCAATTCGGAGTTCTTTGTTTTATACGTCAAAATGTCCAGGCGAGAGGTCGTTTGTCCATCTTTTCTGGGAAAACTATGATTCCTCAGATTATCTTTAACTCTTTAATGGCTTTTATTTCCTCTACGGAAATTGCTTAGCAAAAGTTGCGTGAAAGTGCGCCAGAGATCCCTTGTTGGCCTATAAGGTTATCAGTGTCTACTGTTGCATTTTTTTCAAATGTTATATTTGTTACAGGGATGAAATCTGTCAGTCCTCTACTTCGCAACATAAGTAGGGCTTCGTATTGGGACCCTGTCATCAGACTGGCTGTCAGTTGGGCAAATAAAGTTTTTAGAGGGTGCTAGCAGTCCTGCTAGGCTTTGCGCCTTTCTTTTTGAGAGCTACAATTGCATGCCGCAGACTCATTCGTGTCACTGCCTCCGTGAATGCGCGCATGCTGCCACTTCCGTGTTGATTCTCCACCTATGCCTTTGTACGTGAACATGACACATCTAAACGATAATTGCACACAAGCGCTTACAGCGGCCCTTTACGACCTCTTATGAAAAAGTAAGTTTGAGCTTAATTGGCGGCACAATACCTTCGGCCAGGTTCTTCTCCGGATTTCGTCGAAGATGCGCGAATATCCCGACTCCCCAATATACAAGTAAGAGAGGTCGAGTCGGTATTAGAGGGAGTTGTCCTTTGCAGAATTTACATTTTTCAAACCGCTAAACGCGGATGAGGCACATAACAAATTCAGAGGTCTCCCTTGCTGACTTTGCAGTGGTATTTCCGACTAAGCGTTCTATTTAGTCTCGCGGCTGAGCCAGATGTCTCCGTAGAATGTCGATTTTACGATTGAGACAACATACGATTTTCAGACCTTTGAAACGCGGCAATTTACTGTGAAGGATTATAAAGAGGCTCAAGTATATCTTAAATGCAAAGCTGGGGAAAAGTAGTTTGAAAAGGACATTTTAATAGACCACTGGTGACGTGCAGCGCAACTCTTCCCTAATTGCGGATGCTAAAGTCACTGCGGCGAATCAGTATTGTGAAGTGGACACAATGGGCATTACTTCCCATAAGAATTCGAATTTGGGACGGGGTTCAATAATAACGACAGTGAAAAATAGTTACGATGACACTGGTGGATGGTTATGCCCCACCCGCAAATGCTCCGAAGGCAGTTACCAACGAATATCTTTCTTTGAAGGACTCTACAGGGTTTTCACTGAGCAAGTTTTTCCCATGAGACCTATACAGAAGATATGTGTAATAACTTTAGCAACTTCCAAAGCATTCGATTGCATAGTGTAGCGAGTTAAAACCTATTTTTTGCTGACAACTTTACCGTAGAAAAAGCTCCCGCTTTGTCCGCTGGCACCTACTTACGTCTAAGTGCTAGGAGCTTATCGCATATCCAGAAGCTTCAATGTTTAAATAGAAATTCAATAAAGGGGATTGATTTCGGAATGACATTCAAGTGCATAGAAAGGCTTTTTTCAGCCTGTAGCAAGCCTTTTGATAGTTTTTATTAAAAATGGGAGCCGCAGGCTAAGAGGACATCACGTTTGTGCGGTCAGAATTACCTATTTATCCTGTAGGACAGACATATAAGGAAAAGAATAGATAAATATGATTCGACGGATGATTTGTCTATGTAAAGGTTTTGTCCGGCTGCACTACTTGTGATGAATTTTTGAAAGGACTTCAATTTTCCTAAAGCGTTTCGCGCAGGGACCGTCTATTTTTACGTGAAACATTGTTTCTTATAATGACGTAGATTGAGCTATGAATACGGCTCAACTTTAAATGCGTAACTGGTACAGCATGCCACGGGACGATGGCTTCGGTGTATTTGCCCTTGATTGCAAATTAAGCACTTTAAATGCGCTGACTTTATTAAGCATGGCAACGTACGCCCGGATTGATGGCAATACGGTTGTTGTCGCTACTGTCTTTGCAGCTGACGGCGATGAGGAGGAGACGAAGGCGGATAAAGCAGAGTTCTGCCGCTGCCCCGAAGGTCATCCCCTCAAAGGCGGCTGAGAACACCTCAGTGTACATCTCCATGCCGGCGCCTTCCATGTAATCATTCAGCCATTTGGGTTCAAGGTTATCCGTTCTGCGGTAGGTGCGCATGGTGAAGAGGTTGGCTAGAAGGGTGGAGAAGCCTGGTGCTAGAGAGTTCTGTGCCAGGAAACCCAACTTAAGCTCGGCCACGCAGATTGCATCGTCTCCACGTCGCCAGTCCCAGCTTGGGATGTTGAGTAGGTACGTCTTGTTGTGGTATTGCATCAGCTGTACTATCACCTTTTCGATGGGCAACAAAAGAAGGCAAGTGCTCACAAAGGGCTAACATGAAGTCAAACATGAGATCGCGTAGCCCGTTAGCGGCTGAACGCCACCTTGTCACCTTAAGGGTCTACATTAATACAGGGAGCTTCTACTGTTATTGAACCTTGTCCAACTACGTAAAACATGAAAACTAATATAAGAAAGTAAAAAAGGCATCGGGCAACATTTATTCCCGAAGTAAAAAGGTACACTTTCTTTAAATTTTGCAGGGAACCTATTAGTCAATCAGTTCCTAAACAAAACACAATTGTGCAACCTTTAATAGATCAAAAAGATAATTCCAAGAAGTTCAAGTTACTTTTAAACTCAAGACTAGAAAGTGAATGCAATTCTGACCCCCACCCTTTCAGGCAACTGGATTAACTACACGACAATTTAAGTCCGTTCCCAACCACGTATCCGGAAGTTAATTATCAGATACTGCTCAGCAGCGGGCGTTAACCCCTCTTCAGTTTTTGGCAGCTGGAGTTTTGTGTGAGTACTAAATAAATTTTTGACAAAAATGAGGAAGGACCGGGCTGGCCTTTTCTGACTTATTCTCTGTTACTGGTCAACAAAGGCCCAAAATCTGGATTTCAGACTACAGCACTTCCATATAGCATGGACAGAACAAATATTGTTATCCAAATAAGTCGCTTTTGTGTCAACACTATCCATGTCAAGAATACTGGATTCCAACAAGAATTACCTCAGTTATTTTAGAAAGTCTCGATTCTACCTAACTATGAATTAGCAATAATTCTTTGGGAACATTTAATTGAATTTCACCAACCTGTTTTACGGTTGAATTGTTACGGCGTATCTATGAACATTAATTTTCGGGAGCAGGGATTTAGAAGCTGGCTGTAGTCGGTATTCAGGCAAAACATTAAGAATTTGAGTGTCGGGTGAAATTCACTGCTATAAACCATGTTGTTTAAGATGAGTAAGAGTAAGAGATAATGTACCATAGAAAGTCATTTATCGCCACCTGGCAAAATTGTAATTTCTGAAGGCCAGCTATGTCTGTCATAGCCCATCACGTGGTTAACAATGCTTATGTGTTGCAGGCATAAGACATTTGCTGTATGATTTTTAAGATCATAATTGATTTCATATTTTCCTTGCAGAATGTTACTTCTCTCTAAATGTCTATGAGCACAGTTTGTACTTCTCCAATAATTTTTTAAGATCAGAATTAATTTCATATTTTCCCTGCCAGATGTTGCTCCTCTCTAAATGTTCATCAACACAGTTTGTATTTCTCTAATATACCCAAAATTGCCTCTCTACATTTGTTTTAGAGTACTTGTAGGAATTGTCCTGCTTGTCGCCATTATGCTACATACCACGTACCCGTGGACTGGCAGATTTAAAAACGCAAATTTATAGCAGGTAACTGTTCAATATTAGCTTCGCATGTAGAGGGAGCAGTTTTTATCCCCGCGCTTACAATCGGCCCAACCTACCTGTGAAGAAATAACCTCCGTCCTGCGCAATAGTTTCATTTCTTCTTTGTCGCCGGAGAACCTCAGGGCTCAATAGCACAACGTCTACCGATTTCAGATAAATATGAATGTGCGAACCGTATTCAGTGCATTGTATTTGCTTAAAGATGCACTGCAAGCAGACACTACTAGGGATACAGGTGGTGTACAAGTGAAAGTAAAAAAGTAACGCAGTCCTGAAAAGCTAAACAGGAAACGTAGATTTCTCAAAGGTTTAATAGACATCGACTTGTTCTGAACCCCTATTATATATGTAATCTGTAGGTTTAAAACGGAATGCCAGGTAAATGCGCAAAGTCCTCTCGAAGTTGGCGGACTTACCTTAATGTGGGCACAGTTGTTCTTGATTGATATAACTCTCATA